CATGTCCGCCTGGCACAAACCACATGTTTTGGACCGCTGTGAAGTGACAGAATGTCCCAGCATCATGGTTCTTATATTGCCAGATTCCAGAGAGTCTCCCCTCTTCAGATATGACAGAATATGCCATTTTCCAACTTGCTATGGTGAGATACATGTCAAAATGTGAGAATTTAGTCATATAGATTTGTTTTTTTCATTGATATAAAAATTAATATAACATAGAATACACAGGCACATAGAAGGACATGATGTAATGTAATGATGGCCAATCTGGTTAGCCCAGATTGTCCTGAAAAAAAAAAACAAGATATAGCATGTGTATGTAGCCTTTAGAATGACTGTGATATGAGCTTAAAAGTAAAGGTAGTAGAAATACCCCAAAAAGGCCTAGGGCCCATAGGATTAAACGTGTGCCATGTGGAGTTTTCTTCTGTGAAAAAAAAAAAAAAAAAGCTTTTCCCCCTGACACATTGTGTGCATCCTTGATGTCTCATAAGCATTTTGCGTCACCAGATCAGCTATAATGCCCTAACTACCTTACACCCCTGCTCGTACTCTCAGATCTGCAGACCAGCTGTTGCTCTCTGTCCCCAGGGCCAGGCTTAAGACAGAGGGAAGTAGTTGCCGTAAAGGCTCCACAACTGTGAAACAACCTTCACTGGGAATCAGACAAGCCACCTCAGTGTCCTTTATTAAAACTCACATTTATAAACCTTATCATCAATCCTCATCTTTGACCTGCAATCCAACCCTCCGGTCACCCTCTTTGGCACCACAGGAAAGGGTGATGTACACCTGACTCTAATCCAACACCATACACTGTCTTCTGCCTCTCTGCTGGCCAGACTGGCAGTTTTGATCAGAAGGTTTGGGGCCCCTTTCTGAGATACTTCCAGAGCTGTCAGTTACATTGACAATTCTGTATTTGTTTATTGTTCATGTTGCTTTCTGTCAGTGTATACGCTGATAAAGTACCTCATTATTCTGAACCTGCCTGTTCACATCCATGCTTGCTAACATGCAGCCCTCTGTTTCGTTGCCTGTGCTGATGCCTTGCTGCAATACTTGGTATGTTACCACCACCTACTGTCAATCAACACATATTACTCCTGAGTGATATCAGTGGTCACACACTCCACAGGGCTTCTTTAAATAACTCAGATCAGGACTGAGGACCGAGCACCAATGATGAGACTTACCTGCACCAGGTTCAGGCCTTGGATGCAGTTCTTCACTTCCTTTATAAGTTTCACTTTATCTGCTGCTTTTAATTCTGTCAATTTTACTGTGAATTGGGTCTTCTCTTTCTTGACTGGTGCCTCCTCCTCCTCCCCTGCGGCCTAAAATCACACAGAATAAAAAAATAGCTATTTCATTTGTGCACTTAAACGATAGGTAATCATTGAAATTTGCAGTGATACAATGTGGAGATTGGTCCTGTATCATCGACTCCCTGTACTTACAGCAGCAGGTACAGCTGAAGCCATCGCACCCATTGGCATCATTCCAACATCCTGAATGTTCAAAGTTTTCTGCAACCAAAAACAAACAAAACAAAAAAAAAAAGCAAATCATGACTTAACATGATGCCACAAACACATCTCAACCACCTCTTTCTGACCAGGCGTATCATGGTTTACAGTCAGTGACTTTCCAACAAACCTTGAGGAGCTCGTTGAGGTCCGACACCTCTAATAAAGTGAGGCTGGCTATGTCATTGACGAGCTGTTGGATTTTGGGGGAATATTGTTTGGGTGCTCCATCTAGAGGTGGGGTGGCGATGGCGTCTGAGTGGGTGGCCGGACTGGTCTTCAGAAGTCGGAGAGCGCACAGGGCTGGTGCTTGCCGCTGAAGCTGTTGCCTGGAGAATGAGAATGGATTTACTGTACTGTTCAGCGCTCAAGACACAAGACGAATTGTATCCACATATTAGTATACATAAAACCAGCTTAGAGCTGCAGTTCACATCTGGCATCAGAGGGCATCTTAAATGTGACTTGAGTGATCTTTTCTTTTTGGAGTTTGTCTATGGAGAAACTGCGACTATTGTTTACCAAAAAGCTTAGCTGACAGTCGCTCTTTACTTTGGTACAGACCAGTGCAACAACGATTCATCGTCTAATCGATTACTTGTCCACTATTACATTAATTGCCACTTAATTTCATAATGAACTTAATGGTTTGAGTAATTTCAGAAAGTCCAAAATCATCTGATTCAAGCTTTTACTGTGAATATTTTTTGGTTTGTTTACTCCTCTATGACAGTTAACTAAATATCCCTGGGTCATGGAGGAAAAAAGACATTTGAGGATGTTACTTTAGGCTTTGGGAAACACTAATCGACAAATTTCACAATTTTCCTGACATTTTATGGACAAAACAGTGAAGCAATTGGTCAAGAAAATAACCGACATTAATCGGCAATGAAAATAACTGTTAGTTGCAGCCTTAGTACAGACTTTCAATCATTGTCTGGCATAGACAGATAATGGATGCATTTGCAGTGACACTGCACTACTGACTAGTTCATTCCAATTCAGCAAATGTTACCCAATCATAATGCACTTTGGGGCCACATTCATTCAATGTTTGATCAGCTCACACATTATGTCCCCTTAAAAGAAATATATATCTATATGAGAGCACCTATCAAAGATCAGTTTGAATGATTTCTGTTTTTTAAGACTGATTTGAACACTTTTAGGAGATAAAATCATGCAGTAACTTATAGGAAAAAAGCACAACTAAACTGATATGTCAATCCATAGATTACTAGACTGACAAATAATCCATGAGCAACTATGTTAATGGCTGATTATCTGTATAATTTATCTTTTTGTTCAAGCAAAAATACCAATCATTCCTTAGTTCCAGCTGCTTTTCTGTTTTATATGCGCAAATATGATATACAGACAATTTTAAAATGAATTATCTTTAGTTTCCTATTCTGCTAACCACTTTGTGATCCCCCTAATGTATCTCTGTCTTCCTGTGACTCTTCAGGGAGGGGGTTGTCAAACATGCAGCAGGATGATATGAGATGAAAGCTGTTATACAGACACCTTGTATTATTTCCTGTTCCTGTTGCACCCTGGCCTGGACAAACAACCTGTAGCTCCTGTTAATGACCTGTTTACCGTTGTGCCCTAAACAAGTTAAGATATACAGCTTGCGGTTATTTGACAGGCAAAAACATGAATTTCCAGTCACACGAATGTGACCTTGATTGTCAGAAGCTGCCAGCTGGAAGAAAATGAATCAAACAGATGCTATCTTTGAAGTTCGCGACCAAACTTAAGTAAAAAATGAAGCGTTTTCTCGAGACCAAATGCAACATATTGGGTTATGGCTAAAACTGTTACAGTTTATCAGTGTTCAGTTACTATTAGCTAAAGCTAGCATTAGCTAACACACTTGACACACGGCCGTTAAACATGAAACTCCTTTCTGCCTCTGGACTAAATACATCCTGTATATTAGCATGAGCTGCAGAGCCAGAACATATTTTATAACCACAATAACCGGCAGCAGTCACCGGCAGCCTGCCCTTGAGGATGCAGCTAGTCAAAGCCTGTACCGCTACCGCTGCCCCGGTGTTACGTGACCAACAAACTGACTATTACGTACCGGTGTGTGGTGGCTGCGGCCCGCAGCGCGGTCCGGAGGCAGCGTCTGGTGCAGTACATGCTAACGGTTAATGGAGCGTTTTGTCCCGGACACGGTGTCTCTCAAAAAATATTACAAGACAGTTCTGTCACAGCCCTTTCTGTCCCTCTGCCTCAACAGCACATGGCGTCCTCTCAACTGCTGACCTACCCACAATGCAGTGCGTGAACTGTTGGAAAATCTACGGAAGCCCAGAAGGTACATGCGAAAACTACAAATAAAGAAATGACGCTGATATTCATGTGGGGGAAAAAAGCAAAACACGGATATTAATATTGACGATAATGGTTATTATTATTATTATTATTATTATTATTATTATTATTATTATCATCATTATTATTATTATTAACAGTAGAAGTAGTATATTATTAGCTTATTTATTGTTATTATATACTTTTTGTGTCAGTACATATCACTGGCACAATTTTTTTTTTTTTTTTTGGTTTGTTTTTTGTTTAAAAAAAAAAAACTGAAACAAATTTTTTTGTTAAAATCATGTTCTCCAAACATGATTTTTATTTATTTTAATATTCTTAAAATGTATGAATACTTAAATAACAATAATACAGTGTAACAGGATTTTGATAAGCAAAGTTTATAATACAGTTGTATAGCTGTATAAAGCCCAAAATGAATAACACTGTTTAGTCAGAGGTGTCATTGTGTATGGGGACATAAAGTTTTGTGGATATTGGATACAATTATTTTTTTATGTGTTTAATGTGTCATTAACTTACTTTAAAATAAGGCCATCTTTTTTTCCAACAATTTTTCATTCCTACTCATTTTGTAACTTGAGTTACAGCTTGACTGCTGTAATTCCTAAAATCTGAAAGAGATATAATTCTTCCTTTGATAAGTATTTGGTCCATATTCACAACAGTACATTGCTTTTCTAAATGCCCCACTTTCATAATCTGTTCTATTACATGTAACATACCTGACCTGAAAGTTTGCATTGTTTTTACATGTAAAAAAATTCCCTCCAGCAAGTGGAATTCATTTGTACATACTTGGATATGGTTGATGGTGTCCTAAAGTAGGCCTATCTTTAATTATATTAGATATAGATTATATCAGACTATAAGTCCTTAAAGGTATCAATAAGCGTATTTATAGTTAGTAGTAATGTTTACAGTATCTGCATTAATATCATACAAATATATACTTATCTACATATATACAGATATACAGAGTAACACTGTATCATAGACTGCATATTTTTATATTGTTATATATATTTTTATACAATCAGTGCACTGTATGTTAACCATTATTTAACACTTTGTTGCCGTTCCTCACTATGGCCACAAGATGGCAGTAAATACTCACAATTCTAAACACACTCAGGCATAATGATATCATGCCATATGACACTAAACACTATGATGATATTTATCATGTTGGTTCAGACACAAACTTATTGTATGACTTTATCTCTGTCCCTGTTTTGTCTTCTTGTGTGGACATGTTTGTGTGTCCTACCTGTACTGCACCAGTGCTGAACACTGAGGAGGAGCACAGAGGGAATCCTCTTAACCAGGTAATCTCTGCACCCCATCTGCTGTTACAGTCATCCACCACGTCCACCCTCCACCAGTATGCTATTCCCTGGCTAGTCTCGGTCAACCAGCACAAGTGAAGGTAAGAGGAATCATCTGAGACAGAAAATGAATTCATAGGCTGGCAATACAAGGTGATAGGGTAACGTCCTTCTGCTTTCCTCCTCCAGACCATGCTGCTGTCTCCCCAGGCAGAGAGGAACTGGGAGGATCTGAGTTTAATGCTTGAGGATGTGCTGGAGGACCAGTCCCACAGGCAACTGTTCGCCTTAGAGCTGGGCTCTGGGACTGGGCAGCATGTCATACGCTTTGCCCAGAAGATGCCCTTTGTTACCTGGCAGCCATCAGACATTAAGGAAGACTCTCGGGACAGGTTTGTCTTAATAAAAAATATGCTACACAATCTCTTAATGATTCAAATGATTGCCAGTACAGTAGACTAGTGTGTGACAGTAAGCTTCATGGGCAACAGGTCGTACATTTTTTCAGTTATGTAAATATTAAATAACAGCAAGTAATTCATGAGAACTTGATTCTAACATAAAAAATGTAAGATTAAGTCTGAATACTCACTTATAGTATTAAGGCATACATTGCTGCAACCCATACAAAGAATGTGCTGCAGCCTGTCCACCTGGATGCCAGCGAACCGTGGGAGAAATGGGCAGGCCTTCCTCGCAACTCCTGTGACGTTATTGTTGCCATTAACTTGCTGCAGTACAGCTCCTTCAAAACAGCACAGGTAGGCCCGGTGTCCTCATAAAATCGCTTAAAATATTGAGCTCAGTTGTGTGAGTAATTCATGATATACTTTTTTTGATGATTTTCCAAGGGTGTGTTCAGTGGAGCGGGTCAGATCCTCAGACAAAATGGCCTCATAATAACATATGGGGTATGTACCGACAGTGGTTTAATAACATAATGTCATTATGCGAGTGTGCAAAAGCTGACACCTTTTTAAACATGTTCCAGGTGTACGCCATTAATGGCACCATTACGCCAAGTTGTAATGAACACCTTGACGCAGAGCTTCGACAACTGTGAGTGGCCGTTTATATCTTTTAATACAACATGGTCGCCCTTGGTGTGTAAATACACAGACTTATCTAATGCTTCTGCACAGAAATCCAGAGTGGGGTCTTCCAGACATCGATGTGCTGAGACAGCTGGCCTATGGGAACGGGATGCGTATGGAGAGGATGGTGAGTCACTTCCTGTAGCTTGGGGTAACTACTTGGTAATAAGTACGATATAACTTACGCTTGTATTGTTTTTCATTTCCAGATTGAGATGGAAGAATACTACAAATGCCTGATCTTCAGAAAACTTTAAAGAAGCCAAACTGCAGTTATATGTTAAAGGTCCAGTGTGTAGGATTTAGGGACATCTATTGGCAGAAATGGTATACAATATTCATAATTGTTTTCATTAGTTTATAAGCACCTTAAAGTAAGAACTGTGTTTTTGTTACCTTATAATGAGCCATTAATATCTACATACAGAGCAGGTCCTTTTCCATTAAGTACGAAAATGGACAAATCAAACACTGGCTCCAGATTGGTCACCATAGCTCAAGTTTCAGTTCTGCAAACACACCACTAGATGTCGCTTAATCCCACACACTGGAACTTAAAAGCATATTTCATCCATTCAGTCACTGATGTAATATTATTGCCTTTACCCCTCTTGTTGAAACATGTGTGAATGTGACATAGCACACAGAATTTACATGAATAAAAGTTGTCATATCAGACATCTCTTTCTTTTTAAATCCCATGGAAAGCTGTAGAATAAAAACGAGAATAAGCAAGTTGACAGTAAGAACCAGATATTTATTAAATATAATTTTAAAATTACTTTTTAAAGTCAGACAGATCAGTATGATGGAGTAAAGAAGTTCACAGATGGCAACTGAAGGGTTACAGAAATCACTGATGGGGTGCGTGATAAATACATACATGCGGCACGTAATGTTCGCTCTGCAAGCATTTCCACATTTCGGAAGAGCCGAGTACATTTAAGAAGAGTCCCAACCTGCACTCACTGTGTCAAAGTCCTCATCTGTGACGGTTGCAACCAAATGCACACGGGATGGGGTGCCTGAAGGCTATTTGTGGTTAATTATGGTTTAAGGTCTGATGTTTCAGTCTCGTATTGTGTCGGTGCTTCATCAGCAACAACACAAACAATTTTAAAAAAGAGATGCGGGATGTTATAAGAGTTGCTGGACTGCTTTATTATGTGGAGTTTATGGTCACTAGTTGTGTCATTGTCATGATTTAGTTTATGAAAGCGTATTTATTGAGGGTTAAACAACCACCCAGCTAATCATCTGAAACTCCTCCCATAATGTACAATCCCTGCAATGCGTTGCATCATTTAAGAAACTACATTAAGACACTCGACATTCCAGCAGTGCACAACAAATAAATGTCAAAACAAGAAAAGATGACCCTCGTTTGTCTGCGTGTGAGAAGGGATGGAATTGGAAACTATAACTGGAATGGCCAGCTGTGAACCTGACAGAGATGTGAGTTAATGCCATTTATTTCAGACCTTTGTGCTTCCTCACCCTTTACCCTCACACCCACAGTCTCTTAAACAGCACGTACAGATGCCTCTCAATTGGGATACGTTGCAATAATTCACTTCCATTCCAGAAAATAATGAAAATTTAACATGCAAATTTTGCTTTAGAAAAATATGAGACAAAGGATGGTTATGTCTTGTCTTTTTTTTTCTTCTCAATTATTATCATATTTTCTTATTCATTTTTTTAAACTTTAATACCACTGACTATTTCTGAGCTTCAGTAATTCATTTAATAAGGAAATACTACATACATATCAGCTGGAAAGAGGGAGGAAGAGGGTGAAAGGGTCTGGGTTATGGTGCCCTCTTTAGCAGCTTCACCCCGCATTCCCGTACTTCAGCAGGGGAGAGGCAAGGAGAGCAACAGTTCTGCAACATCATCACAATATTTTACATTGCCACAACATCACAGCAAGGTGGAAGGTGGGAGAGGTGTGTGTGTGTGTGTGTGTGTGTGTGTGTGTGTGTGCGTGTGTGTTTCAGGAGGGCAGAGAGTCCGGAGAGTGAGGGGAAAGACCAAAGGAGGAGAGAGGGTGTAGTGTGTCAGACCCTGCAGCGTGCGGACTTCAGTCAAAAGAGATGAGCTGTGCCTCTGCACTGCCGGGCGCAACCTGAGGGACCTGCTGCTGTTGCTGCTGCTGCTGCTGTTGTTGCTGCTGCTGCTGCTGTTGCTGCGGGCCACCAGGGGGAGCCACCTAACAAGAAAAAACAGTAAAGGTCAAAATAGGAAGATTAATGAGGACTAAGCTTGGAATAACTTTAAAAGTAAAAACAAAGATACAAATAAATCATTAGCTACAGCTTCTTGTGTCAGTTCTAGGGATTGGCATTTTAAGGACTCGAATTACATTATTATAGAGTACTCAAAAAAAACAAAAAACAAAAAAAAAAACTAACGTAAATATAGGAACATAAATTGGCCAATGGGAAAAGAAGCTCAATTTGAAACTAGTTTACTGAATATCCAGACTTCAATTAGCCTATTAAATCATAACTCAAACATAAGAAAAATAAGCAAACTTTCTGTTGCTGCTGTTACATAGTTTAGACGCAGTGGTAAAGGACTGCCTCCGGAGCATGAAGCCACTCTCCCTCTGATCAGTTCGTCTGCCCAATTAGCACGAGTTAACCCAGCAGCTAATATCTGACAGTGAGCCATTTAACGGTCCCAAGAAACTCCCACCAACGCCAGACAGCTCAACTCTGTCATTAAACCCATAAAAAAAACCTTAAGTAAGGTTAGCCATGTGATGTTAACAGTTAGCCAGGCAGCTGCTGTCACGAAGGCAGCTGCCCGGAAAAAGTGGAGAGGCCCAGTTCAGTTGCAAGATAACATTATCTTCTGGTTAGTAGTGGTAAATTTACAGCTCACAGCAACTTAATACGACACAGTCTCTGGCTTTGTTTGATATCTTGTGTCGGCAAAAAATGCTGTTGCACATTTCCAATCCATCGTTAGCATAATAAGCTTGTTTACTATATTAGGTGAATCTCGCTGTCACAAATGTGCCAAATTTAAAAAAATAAATAAATAAATGCCTCAAGATGTTCTTGAGATATTGGATTCATGAAAATAAGACAAGCAAAGTCACAGTGACTGATCTTTGACCTCTGACCGCCATAATCTAATAAATTCACTGTGTAGTCTAAGAGGACGTTTGTGCCAAATTTGAAGAATTGGCATTCTTGAGGCATTGTGTTCACCAAAACAGGACAGATGGACAGACAGACATATGGATGGACAACCTGAAAACATAACGCCTTAGGCCATGGCTCAGAGGCATTAAAAAAATAGATAACTCATGTTCATATGTTAGAGGTTGGACGGCAATTACTTTATACGTAGAACTTATACTGGCTTTCAATTTGAGTACTCATGCCCATCCCGAGTGAGCATATGGAAGACACAAGCTAATTACCACAAATGTCACAAACTCTTCACAAAGTTTTCCTCATGTTAACAGCTGGTGGCAAAGGAAGAAATAAAAAGTCGCTGACCTGTTGGTACATAGGCGGCTGGCCTGGCATGTACTGCTGTTGGGGGGGCATATTGGGGTCCTGTCCTGGCAATGCTGAAATCATGTTCTGCATGTTATACGGCTGGTAGCCCATGTAACCCATACCGTTAGTGGGAGCAGCCTGGGACATGGGGGGCATACTCTGGGCCTGAGAGACCACGTTCTGTACAGAAACAGGGACAACGGTTAGTGGGCTGATTATTCATCTTTCAATATTTGGCAGAAGTTTATGTAACAATGATATCACTAAAGTGGGAGTGAATCAGACCTGGTAGCCCTGTGTGGGTGTGGGCTGATAGTTGGAGTACGATGGACTAGTAGTGGGCGGAGCCTGACCAGGAGGAGGAGCAGGCTGCCCATTGGTGCCTGCAGCCTGGTACATGTATGCATTAACCATATTGGGATCTGGAGGAAGAGAGGACAGTCAGTCACACAGGAGCACATTAGAAACGAAACATAAAAATATCAAATATATTGCAGTAGGACAGTTAAATATTGTCTACTTCTAAAGCCATCAAAAGTCACCTGGGGCAGTGCTGGGCATAGCCTGGTACTGTGGAGGTGCAGTCTGCCCTGGCTGGTTCATATAGATGTTGTGCATAGGTGAACCCTCCACAGAACCAGCAGGGCTGAAGGTGCCTGGGTAGCTTGGTGGAGCACCTGGCTGGTACACCACCCCTCCCGCCACATTTGGGGGCAAAGACTGCATCTGCATAGAAGCGAATACATACATTACCAGACATTAATTCCCAAAGACATCTTATTTAAATGGCAAAACATGACCATTAAAATAAAATGTACTGCACTATGTGCTGTGTTAGTTAAGCCTGACAGCCAATGGTGGAGTATGCAGTGTGTACCTGGGCGTAGGGCAGAGAGAAAGCAGGCATTTGGGCTCTCATCTGGATTGTGTGCTTCTGCTGCTCCAGACGCATCTGCCTCTCCTTCTCCTGCTCCTGGAGGCGCTGGATTGCCAGCTGTCTTTGCATCTCCAGGTACTCCTGCAGATCAAAGACAAACACTTGTGAGCACAGCGATGAATAGTATATGAACATGTGCATTTTCAATGAAGAGCCTCACTCCATTACCTGTTTCTTCTGCCTCATAATCTCCAGTTTTTGCGCCAGCTGGATCTGCCTTTGTCTCTCTGCCTCCTCTGCGGCACGACGCAGCTTCTCTCTGTGCTCGTCCCGAAGTGCGTTGAGGGCTGCCCGAGCATCGCGCACTTGAGCCAACTTGTCCTGCAGCCCCTCATAGTACACTACAGGCAACATGTGATAGTTAGGAGACTGGACACACAGAAATGCGGTGTTACACACAATCTCGCGCACAGCTAACACTCACATCGCTTCTCATCTAGCTGGTTGAGGATGTCCAACAGCTGTGGATGCATGTTGTTGATGGACTGGAAGAGTGAGAGCACAGCGCTGTCGTTGGTGATGCTGCGCCCACGCATGTGGTTGCTCTTCATGCGGTTAAGGAAGGTGGTGACAGCATTCTGCAGAGCCTTCAGAAACTGTTCATGGTTCTCCTCCGATTCCCCGTTCTGGTACTGCTGCTGAAGGCGGCGACGAGTGGGAGGCAAAACACACAAAGTCATTTGTGGTCTGCACACTCCACTTCTGCTAGACATAAAACAAATACTACTAACAACAACTACTACTAAGTTTCAACATACCTCCACTATGCTGACAGGCTGAACAGGAACATGAGTTTCTACAGGCTGACTGATTGGCGGAAGGGGCTCAGCCAATGGCACAGGGGCAGGGGCTGATGGGGTGGGACTCTTGCGAGCCTCTTCCTGT